TCTCATCTGACTACATCATCTTCTCCCAAGCCTTCTCTGAATCATCCAGATGTTCATTGTCAAACTTCAGACGGGCCTTTCATGTTCTTCTTGAGCAGGGGGCCTTGTGGTGCTGCAGGATTTGATCCATTATGGTGTTACCAATAGTTTTCTTGGTGACTGTGGTCCCAGCTGCCTTGAGATCATTAACAAGTTCCTCCGTGTAGTTCTTGGCTGATCCCAGACCTTTCTCATGATCATCATACCCCACGGGGCGAGATCTTGTGTGGAGCCCCAGACCGAGGGCGATTGATACTCATTTTGTGTTACTTCCATCTCTGAATAATGGCACCAACAGTTGTCTCCTTCTCCCCAAGCTGCTTTCTGATGGTCTTGTAGCCATGTAGAAATACTTATTTCCCACAGTTAAATGTAAATACATTGTTATCTCTTATATGGTGTACATTTCTGGATTTTCTTTTGGTATTCAATCTCTCATTAGTCAAATAAACCTACCATTACAATTATAGACTGTTCATTTATTTTTAAGTGGGTCAATTTACAAAATCTGTAAGGGATTAAATAATGATTTCCTCCACTGTAAGTGCGTATACTTTAGGGACAAAAACACACTAAACAGCATCGCCAGTCTCACACACACATTCTCACACACACAGTCTCACACACACAGTCTCACAGCATGGTGTGTGTGTGTGTGAGAGAGATAGAGAGATAAAGGGAGATTTCCTGCTGGGTACATTCCTTATTTGGTAGCACTATCATCTGGTTGCCCGCCAACCACAAGACCATGATGATGATGATGATGATGTTATGATCTACCTGCATTTGATTAACTTTGTGTGTGTAGGTGTGTGTGTGTGTGTGTGTGTGTATGTGTGTATGTGTGTATGTGTGTGTGTGTGTGTGTGTGTGTGTGTGTGTGTTGTGTGTGTATGTGTGTATGGTGTATGTGTGTGTGTGTGTGTGTGTGTGTGTGTGTTGTGTGTGTGTGTGTGTTGTGTTGTGTGTGTGTGTGTGTGTGTGTGTGTGTGTGTGTTTGTGAGAGTTTATTTCTGTGCATGATTGTGTGCTATTGATGCCTGTAAGCACATCATATTTAAAATATTATATATCAGAATGTGTTAAATAACATCAAATGTGTGTGTGTGTGTGTGTGTGTGTGTGTGGTGTGTGTTGTGTGTGGGTGTGGTGGTGGGTGTGTGTGTGTGTGTGGTGTGTGTGTGTGTGTGTGTGTGTGTGTGTGTGTGTGTGTGTGTGTGTGTGTGTGTCCTGGTGAGAGCATGTTTTGGTTTTGGTGTGTGTATTTTCAAATAACTCACGTTGCTTATAAGTGTTCTGTTAGTGTGCCTATGTTACGATCTGTGTATATGCTGCACTCTATTTGTGCAAGTGTGTGTGTGTGTGTGTGTGTGTGTGTGTGTGTGTGTGTGTGTGTGTGTGTGTGTGTGTGTTTGTGCAACTGCAGAACCTAATACTGCTTTCAGGAAGTGCCTATGTGTCATCTGAGGGACTCCCCAGCTCTCTGATTGGATCTCTCATTAGTCTCAGGATTACACCCCCTATTTTTAGTGCTTTTCTGCTGCAAAGATTGTTTAGGGATATATAACAATTTTCCACATCAGTCAAAAAAAGTCTGGGAATCAGATAATAGACATTGTGTTTGTAATAACATATACAAACACAACAACATATTAAGGTGTGTAAACAATTTGGTAGCGCAACTAAAACATGTATACATTTCGTTTTATACAAAATGAGCATTTGAGATATAGAGAATCTGATACGGCATTTTGAATTGTGTTTGTAAGGTTATTCTGTAGAGGCCTTGAGTTACAGGCCTGTTTTACATACTAATTGATATTGTTTAACCTTACCCAGTACAGCAGTTGTCTAATCATCTCTTAGCAACCGTAATTAGGCCTGGCAGGCTGTTCTGATTGGATGTGCACCGGGCTGAAGGAGAAGAGTGGTCACTGGCTGGGGAGGAGTCTCCCTCTGTGCCAAAGCACACTGAAACAACTGAAATGTTGACTTTAATGAAGTGTATTATGGCAACAGATTTCACATAATGGTATTATGTGAGTTGGAAGGAATAATATTACGTTTAATAGCATTGCTTTCAACTAACATAATACAGTTATGTTGCATGTCAGTGCAATGACCCAGTGTTTAAAACACTGGGTCAAAACCATGTGTGAACTACATTGTTTGAGAAGGCAGCGGTTAACGGGTGATTCAACAGTCAGCAGGATGGGGCTTGGGAATAGTCAATTGTACACCTTTTGTTCCAGTTATATAATCATTCAAGAGTAAACAGCATCAGCAGCAAAAGCAGATGAGAACAGAGGAAGTGTTCTTACTTAAATAACATACTTAGGACAAAGACACAATTAGGACAGGCCTATCTCTTTCGGCAATCAAAGTTGTGTCATACCACACCGAACCTGTTTGTGTAGGGTTTTATTCTACAATCTGCCCCCTTGAGTTTGGAGGATAATGGTTTGTAGAGGAAGAGCTGTGTTTAAAGTCAGCGCTGGGTGGAAGAGTTGCCAACGGGGGAAAAGTCCTCTAAACATCCTGTGCTCCTTAACATGCCTTCAGAAGCCCCTCCTCCCTCTTCAACTCAACACTTGTGCATCAAGGAAGTACTAACAAAACTATGAAGAGTGGAATCTTTGCTTTGCATAATGTTGACACAGCTGTGTGCATGCACCTCTACAGAAAATAACTTGTAGTTTTAGTGTGGATGGTTAAACTGTATGCAGCCTGTCAGGGTTTCTGTTTCTGGATGGTGCATACTGTTTATCAATCAATCATTGTCAATCAATGTTTATTTATAGCCCAATATCACAAATGTTACATTTGTCTCTGTGGACTTTACAGTTTGTACAGAATATCAGTATGACAATACGACACCCTCTGTCCTTAGACCCTCTGTGCTTAGACCCTCACATCGTACAAGGAAAAACTTCCAGAGAAAACCCACAGTTTAAAGGAAACATGGGAGAAACCTCAGGGAGAGCAACAGAGGAGGGATCCCTCTCCCAGGACGGACAGACGTGCAATAGATGCTGTGTGGAAATCGAAGAGAAAATATATTTACAGCATAGGTAGACCAAATGTTTGGAAATGCATGTGTCTGTAATAAGAAGATCCACGAGGATGTCAACAATCCTGTGGGAGGATTATAATGATTACTTTACATGACATGTTATTTAGCTGACACTTTTATTCAAAGCAACTTGTAAACACGCCAGTACTGTAGACATACGTACAGGAGCAATGAGGGGTTAGGTTCTATCTATCTGGCTGGGAATGTAACCACTGGTTGACGTCCATCTGCAGGAGCCACAGCGGGCCGATAAAGGGGCATTGAAAGCCTAAGCCATTTTTGTCCAATCAAAAGCTGTTAGCCAATGACCATCCATTCTGTGGAGGAATGGCTGCCAACAATGTAAATGTCCCCTCTGTGGGACTGATAAAGGTATTCTGATTCTGAACTGTTGCTGGCAGATTGTATCACATGCAGCAAAATGAGCTACCAGCTAGTCAGAACCCTGTTTTTGATCTCCTCCTCGAACTTGTGATCTTGTTTATTTGATTTGAAGCTGCAATACATCCAAAACACAGCTGCTAGGATCCTGATGAGAGTGCGGAAGTACGAACACATCACACCCATCCTCAAATCACTGCACTGGCTCCCGGTCTCACTCAGGATTGACTACAAAATCACCCCTCTTCCACTCATCAGTGCATATATGGAAATGCTCCGTCCTACATCAAGGAATTGCTCACCCCACAAACCTCCACGAGGAACCTACGTTCCTCCTCATCCCACCAAGGACAAAACTGAACACCATGGGAGACCGAGCCTTCTGCTCCGCTGCTCCGAGACTGTGGAATGCCCTCCCAAACCAGCTGAGGACACCACAGACTGTGGCCCTCCCAAACCAGCTGAGGACACCACAGACTGTGGCCCTCCCAAACCAGCTGAGGACACCACAGACTGTGGCCCTCCCAAACCAGCTGAGGACACCACAGACTGTGGCCCTCCCAAACCAGCTGAGGACACCACAGACTGTGGCCCTCCCAAACCAGCTGAGGACACCACAGACTGTGGAGGCTTTCAAAAAAGGCCTAAAAACGCATCTTTTTAGAATAGCCTTTAACTAGAGTTTTAAATCCCCCACATCATGCCATGCCGGCATGAATGTCACAGCTTTTATTATGTTGTTTTAATTGTTTTTTTTTAATTGTTTTTATTGTTTTTGTTGTTTTGTTTCACCCTTTTTAATTTTTAATTTTGTAGCACTTTGAGTTTTGTTTACGCAAATGAAAAGTGCGCTTATAAATAAAATATATTATTATTATTATTATTTCGGAAAGGCTCAATAAAGACATCACTCCTAAACTTGCCAAAGCCAAGTTTTCAAGCGTTCCCTTTTAGGAGAGCTTTTCTTCAGAGAAGCTATCAGGACTCAGAAGCTGCCTTTCTCTGGAACCAACGTCTCGTCTTTATCAGGAAGGCAGGGTCCTAACTTTGAAGTGTGCTGAAGACTTTTCTTTTGAATAAAACCTTATAGTTTCAGCTGGTTTAATATTACCCTATATTTCTCTTATGTGTTATGGAATTCTTATTTTGTATTTGTATGGCGCCTTTTTGTTGTATTTGACCTTCTTTTATTTGTATCTAGTTTATTTGTGTCTTTCATGTTTGTTAATCTGTTAAACCCACTCAAACAGACCGTTTGGGATACTGGGCATAGAATAAGCTTTGATTTGAATTAAAAGGGAAAGCTTGAAAAGTCATTGGGCAGCAGATGGTTATTAGAATGTTTCAGATGTAACGCTAACAATATCTGTTGTGAAAGGCATGAGCACGAAACAGATATGATTATAAAAGAACAGGTTTCAGTCCAAAAATGTAGGTCAGACTTATTTGGACACTTTGTATTGCTTTGAAGATGGGATACAATGATGTTTATGAGTTCCCTCCCCAGGACCCTAGGTTTAATGCTGAAGTGGACCTGATCACAGGATACAGAACACAGAGTATCCTGTGCCTTCCCATAAAGAACCACAGAGACGAGGTAAGACCAGACATGCTACAGCTGGTGTTTTATTAGGAGAAGATAAGACATAAGTAAACAAGGCATTGCACACAATGTGAAAATGAAAAGGAGTATGATATAAACAGACATAAACATAAAATATAAACATCTAAAAAAAAAACAGAACTTCAAAGTAAAAAAAGAATGACAGTGGAAGATATATATCTGAAGAATGTCTGTCAAATATACACTAAGGGCCAATTACAGCTCACAACATATAGAAGTAGGATATTATCAACATGGAGTGGGTGAGAATAGCATATAAAATAAAATATCAAAGTACTCATCCATCTGTATATAGTGTATTCACACTGCACCTTAGTTACTGATGTTACACTATTTACCATAAACCAGAAGGATAGTGGCTTATCTTAAATTACACATGGGGCTTTACTTTGGCTGAAAGAATATCTCGATGTTAGTTTGCTTGATTGTGATGGAGATGGCTCAATTGTTGTTAGGTTATGTACAACATGTAATAATTGAACGCCATGTGTTGACATCTCTGACATTTAAGACAACAAAAATAAATATATTCCCTAACGTAGACCAGATGATTAGAGTTCCTCTAAAAAACGCTACAGTCCTTTGTAGATCATCTTTTCCTGGAGCATACCTGGGCTAGAACACTGCGGCCTACTCAGATATTTACGCTTTAAATGGGCTTTGGAAAAAGATATAACGGCCTAAGTGCCTCCAGCCTTTTTGGCAGGGAGCTGACATTCTTCCAGCAGGTATTCACTCTTTGAACCTGAACCTTAACCCTTACAGTTTTTCCAAACAGATTGTGTCTTTAAAAAACAACAACAATTTATTGCATCCTTTTCCAATAAAAAACTTGAAGGCCTTGTTGACATCCATGTTGACAGGATGTCTAGCAGCCTTCTTCTTTTGATTTTGTACTCTTGTTTTTTCTCACAGGTAGTTGGAGTGGCTCAGGCGATCAATAAGAAATGTGGGGAGGACAGTGCCTTCACTGAGCAGGATGAGAGGGTGAGTGAAGGTCTGGTTCCACTGCACAACCACATGTTGTCAATATGAATGAATACAGAACGGTAGACAAAATGTGTGAGAAAGACATATTGCTCTTCACTAAGGTGTGGGTTAACAAAAGCTCAACTTTTGTTGCCTCATTCATTCAACCTTTACCTGTGTGTGTCCTATTTTATATCATCTGTCATATTCAGTGGTGGAAAGTAACTCAGTAGATTTACTCCAGTACTGTACTTAACTACAATTTTGAGGTATTTGTACTTCACTTTCATATTTCATTTTGTATTACTGTGTACTTTTCCTCCACTACATGTATTTAATACCTTTAGTTACTTTACAGATTTAGATTAATGATGAGAAATATAATCAAGTCTTAAATCAGACTTTAGTTCCACCTGGAGTAAATTCACAAGTTACCCTGCAGTATACAAAGTCATGAGTACTTTTACTTGTAGCTGAGTATTCCTACACTCTGGAACTTCTACTTTACTTAAGGATAAATACTTTTTACACTTCTGGTCATTTTCCTTTCTCCTTCATTGATAAAGAAACTGTCTCGTCTTGTTCCCTGTCATTGTAATTGTTCTGTTATCTATACATGGTGTTCAGATGCTGTTCTGTTGCTCTCCAGGATTTCTCAGCCTATCTGGCCTTTTCAGGCATCGTCCTGCACAACGCCCAGCTCTACGAGACCTCTCAGCTGGAAAACAGACGCAATCAGGTGGGTGTGAAAGTGGGTCCCTGAAGGTGTGAACACAACACTGAGCATGATGTGTGTGTGTGTGTGTGTGTGTGTGTGTGTGTGTGTGTGTGTGTGTGTGTGTGTGTGTGTGTGTGTGTGTGTGTGTGTGTGTGTGTGTGTGTGTGTGTGTGTGCAGGTGCTGTTAGACCTGGCCAGTCTGATCTTTGAGGAGCAGCAGTGTCTGGAGGTTCTGCTGAGGAAGATCGCAGGAACCATCCTGTCCTTCATGCAGGCCCAGGCCTGTACCGTGTTCACCACTGAGGACGAGTCCATGGTTAGTCACACACACACACACACGCACGCACACACGCACGCACGCACACACACACGCACGCACACACACACACACACACACACACACACACACACACACACACACACACACACACACACACCTTCGAGGAAGGAAGGAAGAATGGAAGGAAGGAAGGAGAGGGAAAAAGGAAGGAAGTATAAAAAGAAGGAAGGAAGCAAGGAGAGGGAGAAAGGAAGTAAGGAAGGAATACAAACAGGTGTTTTTAACATTAATGGAGGTACTTTGTAGATATTGCAATACAATTGGTGGGGATTGATCGACAAGCTTGGTTACACTTTTCCGACATCTTGATTGATTCAAGTCTTCTAAAAATAATCTCAGGCCTGCACAGAAACTCAAATCAACAGTTATATTGAAGCAGCCTTTTGATTCAAGCTTTCCAAACATTAGAAAACTCTAAAAAGTATGTATGTTAGTATGTGTATGTTAGTATGGGTATAGAAAAGGTGGTGACTCAAAAAGGGAAATGAGACCTTACTTACCTTTCTGTGGCAGAGTATACGAGAGGAAATCAAAAGCACACTGATTTTGTTGAAAGATGATGCTTCATACTGTACCATAGCAATATATTTAAATAATATGTATTTCCCCAGAGCTTTCTGGGTCATGCAGCTATTTGTGGGTCCTGAGTAAGGACCTGGACTCAAGCCATTCTGCTTTTTGGTACAGATGCTAATAAAAAAAACATGATTATTTTTAATATATTGTCATTCTCAAAATGTGAATCATCATGCAAAAGTGATCATTCTTTATCACTTCCTCCTTTTTTATCATATAACAATCGCTAAATCAGTCAAAACAACAGCTGTTTTTTCCAAATCGTCTCACCACAATGTGTTAAATGTTTGTGTATGCTCTTACATACACGAAATAATACATATTTGAAATGTAAATATGAATGACTAATTCCAAACCTTTAAACCTGTTGCTTCTCTGAGTGTACTGCTTACAAAGAGCTGACGTGTGTACGTCTGACTAAAACCACATGTCGACATAACAACATGCCAATTATAGTGATGTTTCAATATGTTACCCACAACCATTATCCTTTTGACTAAAAGATGCACATGACAGGTCAGATGGTGTAGTGGTCTAGTTACTACAAATACTTTTAGTGAATGGTATGTTATTGTAGGCACTGATGCTACTGCATGTCAACCTTCTCTGGCATTACTTATATGCAGTGGTGTAGTGGGGATTTTTTTACTGGGGGGACGCTATTTTAATTAGGTCATCCCAAACAATGCCACACAAGTGAACACGCACGCAGTGCACTCACAAAACGGGCAGACAGGTCCACAGAAACTACCGGTATGCTTAGTCCTACTTTAGTTACTGTACTTCAAAAAGCAGACGGCGCTGCGCTCGACACACACACAGACTCAAAACCATGGACACACTGGCACATAAGTTACATAAACAATTTATAGGCCTAAGTTGCTTGAGCTACAGTATTGCAACTAAGCAGACAGCGCTGCTTCTCTCTCTCTCTCTCTCTCTCTCTCTCTCTCTCTCTCTCTCTCTCTCTCTCTCTCTCTCTCTCTCTCTCTCTCTCTCTCTCTCTCTCTCTCTCTCTCTCTCTCTCTCTCCACTTTCAAAATCTATTTAAAGCTCATAACAAACAAACAAAATTCCCAAAGTTGTCCTGAAATTAACTTATTAAATAAACAAAACGAAAAATATAGCCTACTTATGCAAACAACATTGAATCTGGACTTGAAATGATTCTGATTAGGCCTAGCCTACATGCATGGCGAATAAACGGATCTTGTATGCACACTGCTTCGGAATTATTCCTGGTGCGAGTGCTCTCTCTCTCTCTTTCTCTCACTCTCACTCTCACTCTTACTCTCACTCTCACACACACACACACACACACACACAACACACAACACCACACACACACACACACACACACACACACACACACACACACACACACACACACACACACACACACACACACACACACACACACACACACACACACACACACACATGGTGCTGCCCCTCATACACACAGGCTTCAAATCATGTTGCATAAATGCTTGAGCTGCGTCATACGTTTTTTGGCCTACCATTATAGAGCTGTTTCGTTTGCGTTCTTGAGGGAAAGAGCTGCTGCAAAATCGGCGGGCGGCGAGCTGGTGGTGTCACCCTGGGGTCACGAGCGTGATGACGAATCATAAGGAAATCGTTTTTATTTTTTATTATAATTACTGTGAAATGTATTATGTTTTCGTCATTATGTCAACAAATACACACTTGCAACTGATAACACTGGCAATGATTTTATATGTATTAGACTATTCAAAAAAAATCATGCTTTAAAAAAGTGGGGGCTCCAAATAAGTGGGGGTACAGCGATCCCCGCGTCCAATGACCACTACACCACTGCTTATATTCAAATAAACATTTCAAGTCAATTCAAACCTCAGCAGCAATCCCAACAACAATCGTTCAGTTTTCCGCTGGGTGATGGCTAACAGTGCTGAATGTGATCAAATCAAATTCACCATCTAATACTTGTGTTGGGTCTGGGTTAACTGCATGGGGAATGCAATAGCATTGAGCTCACATGGCGTTTCACTTTCTCTGTTTCTTATTCTCTGCCTCCGAACAGGTCAGATCAACTGAGGCAAACATTGCATAACAAACTGCCATACAGAAAAATCACAGGTTCTGAAATCATGCAGCACTGGTTGTTTCTGGCACATTGGACAGTATGGGCAGGCATAAGTGTGGATAGAGGGCTCAGCTTTTCACCAAAGCTAGTTAGATAGTGTCCTTTGTGAATTTGTGTTGTTAATGTAATTTGTACTGCTCAGAGCACCACGAACACAAGGATTTTCCCATTTTAGACAGAATGCCTAAATCGTATTTTTTTGTTTGTGAACTGTCTCTTTAATATAAAAAACAAGATGTTTTATTTCATGTTCAGTATTTACTGAGCTCCATGGGCTCTGTAAGAGCAGTGTGCGTGTGTGTGTTTGTCCCTCCCATGACCTCAGAGTTGCCAGACCAGCTGTCTCCCATTCTTTTATATCCCTCCCCTTTCTCTCTCTTCTCTGTCTTTCCTTACTAAACATTTACTCTAAGATTAGAGATCTTTTACTGGTCTTATCTGCCAGACGTCCTCTGTATACAGGTGTCAGCCTTACATGTCTGCAGTTTCTCAAACACGACCCACTTTGGATTTTAACATAACCTTTCCCCTAGGAAAGGAACTTTCCTGTAGGAAGTATAATAAATGACATCGCACTTCTTTACACTCGACTTTACTGACAATAACACAAGAGTTTTCCAAAACGCTGCCCAGCGTTGGCTCACTTTATTTTACTGTGTGGCATCTGTTTAGAAACAGTGTGGGGTGTGGGGTGTGTGTGTGTGTGTGTGTGTGTGTGTGTGTGTGTGTGTGTGGTGTGTGTGTGTGTGTGTGTGTGTGTGTGTGTGTGTGTGTGTGTGTGTGTGTGTGTGTGTGTATATATCTGAATGCTTTTGTTTGCTTGTGAGTTATATGTATTGCACTGATGATGTTAGATAGGGTTTGACATCTGGCTTGCCAGAACAACAAGGGTTCTATTTCGTCCCTACAGACCGCCAGAGGCGGTGCTTTAAGCACTGGATATGTCCATCGCGCGCACGCGCAGCTCGAGTACCAATAACAACAAAGTCACCTGTGACCCACGTGACACCGGCTATATCAGCCGGTGTCGTCAGAGGATCTGTTCCTTTCATCTTCTCGCTGCGCGAGAGTACCGTGGCTAAATTTTTGTAGCCTACAGCGTTCAGGTTTGAACGTTTGATCTGAGGGATTGCTCTGCAAGCAGCTGACCGCGTGGAGCTTCGCGACGGAGCTACGGGTCGTTAACGCGTCCTCCAGGAGCTGTGGCCGGCTGTGCGCTGTGCAGAGCCTCGACAGACAGGTTGGGGTCAGCTTGTTGCTGGTGATGGCTGTGTCCCCGCACCCTCTCCCAGCCAAGTTGTCCTGATTGCTGTCTTATTTTTTGTTTGGCTTAGACTTTCTGGTGACGACAGTGTTCCCGCTTCCTCTCCCATAAAGTTGTCCTTATGCTCTTTTGAAAGTTCTGCTTGTGGCTTTGTGCCCGAGCTATCATTAGCATTTGAGTCCCAGCTTTGGCTGTGTCCCTCATTCAATTTAGTATGGAAAGCCCAGAGTGTCATATTTTAAACCCGTTTTTCGTTTAGATGCAGAGAGTAAGGTAAGTACTTTCTATTTCAAGCTATTATCTGGTCTTAACATTGTGTTCTGACTTGGTTGCTTGATTGTTAGCAGCAGCCGCTTGGCTAACACCTTGCATGTACTGTTAAGCTTCATTATTTAACTCAGCCGGTGAGGGCAGTGCTCTCGCTCCCGCTCCCGGTAAACGCATGGTATGGTTGCAGTAGCGCTATATCGTTGTATTTACTGCTCCTAGAACTAGACTCCTAGCACTAGGACGATATGCAGAGAACAATCTTCACTGTGTGTGCTGTGTGCTCTGCATGTGTGGCCATTAAGGAGGATTTCATCCTCCCAATATTATATTATCTAGTGGGCAGCCGTTTGGCTGACACTTTTAGGCACCGGCCACAGTTACTGCTGTAACTAAGGTTCTAAGCCGTAAGTACTGGCCATAATTACTACTGTAACTACGGTTTCAAGCCTTCTCAGTACCGGCCATAGTCAATACCGTAACTACGGCTCTATGCTGTGTAAGTACTGGCCATAGTTACTAATGTAACTATGGTTTTAAGCCGTAAGTACTGGCCATAGTTACTACTGTAACTACGGTTCCAAGCCATGCAAGTACTGGCCATAGTCAATACTGTAACTACGGCTCTATGCTGTGTAAGTACTGGCCATAGTTACTACTGTAACTACGGTTCCAAGCCGTGCAAGTACTGGCCAGAGTTACTACTGTAACTACGGCTCTATGCTGTGTAAGTTCTGGCCA